TCCTATTTAAGGCTGGACATAATTTTTCTCAAGAAGTTGAAATTACTTAGTTATTTCATACAAAGTTGCTAAGGATTAATCATAGTCAATATATTTATCAGCACAGTTTAATCCTTTTTAACATTTTACTTTTCAATTACAGTTGACATTCAATATTAGCACAGTTCAATTTTTACTCCTAATAAACATTTCTTCTTAAAAAAATAAAATGGTGTTTATGTTTAAAATTATTGACAAATAGGGACATTAAAATCAAATACTTTACATCAGTGCTTCTAAGATACACATTTTCCCACATATTAACATCTATGAAATCAAGATTCACCTAATCATCAACAATATGGCAGTTTTAGTTGGCAATATTTTTATCTTTATTATTAACACAAAATTATTGTGTCTTATAATCAATGACATCTTAGATGTAATGAAATAAAGCACACAGTTTGCTAATGATAAACCTTACTAATACAATTTATATAAAAGTATACTTCTTAAAAATGGAACTGTAAACCTTAATTAAGTTCATAATAGTAATGTATATATCAATACTTTCTATAGATGAATGTTTCAGATTTTCGCTGAGTTTTAAGTTTAGGTATTAGGGATAATGAAATCCGTGAAACATTTTATCTGCTGGGAATTTAAAAATTATAGAACGTATAGAGACTACTAATGGCATATGATTTATTAAAAATACATAATAAATTTATACTACATTTTCAAATTGTTTTATCATATGCCAAGAAACAATGAAATAAGTTCTACATTTATAGCTTATCTAAACAAATACTAAATTCCTATCATCTTGACTACTTGCAATCAGGATCTCATTATTCACTTTATTAATTTTCCCCTTATATTTTATTTAGACGTAAATGCCCCTCTAGAGATACTAGTATGCATGTGAACACACGTTAGTTTTTTTAAATAAACACACACATACATATGTGTATACATATGATGGTAGCTAATTAATAAATGTTATTTTCCTTATACTTGAGCTTGATAAACATTTCCTAATTTAGATGTTTCTGCTTTAACTAAAGAGAAAAGTTACTTCTAGCATCTGATAACTAGCATGCCTAAAACAATAATTATCAAATTCAAAAAAAGTTTAGTCATGAAGGACTATTACAGATTAAATATATAGGGCTACAAGAACATTAAGTATCAAAGGCATTCTATCTATGTCAGTCTGATAATCTATAACACAAATAAGTAAATTCTAACTGACAACATGGAAACAATTTAAATGTCAAAGTTATAAATGTTTCATCATGTGATATTATAATATATAATTTAAAACTGAATAGAGCCTTAGGAAAATTATACTGGAAGTCTTAGAATGAATTTTATTTTAGAATTTAAGTTTCTACTATTCCTAAACCATAGTTATATCCCTGTGGTTTCGAGAAGGATTAGCCTGCCATTTGTTTTTGATTTAACAAATCAAACTCAACCATTTGTTATCTTTTAATATTTAAACTTTTATTCCTTCACTCATGCATTCATCCCATAAAATTCATTCCATCCCCATCTATTATGTACCTACTATTACTTAAGAAGTTCCTGCTATTTTGCTGTTAATCTACTTGAAAGGCAGCTTGTTAGAACCTGAGTGCCAAGATATGAAGACATTAAAATAGAAAAGGGTTGTTTCTGGTCCTACCTCTCAGGTCCTACCTGCCACTTCTATTTCAGCCCACACCCTTCCACATAACCATGGGCAACTCTTTCAAACTCAAGCGTATTTCAAACAAAATTTACCTGTCCTAGGCTCGATGCCCAGTGTGGGGGGTGTGCAGGAGGCAGCCATTCAATGATTCTCTCTCATCACTGATGTTTCTATCTCTTTCTCCCTTTCCCTTCCTCTCTGAAATCATTACAAAAATTTTTTTTTTACATTTACCTGTCCTAAATGCTATTCTAGCTAATCTGACAAACAGAGACGTGCTCATATGGAAAAAGCCATTAAAAAGTTAACCTATTCTCCTAGCAACTGTTTTTGTTTTTGTCTGATTTTTTTTAACTGGTCTTATTTAGGAACAGAGCTTTAATGGAAAGAAAACGTAGGCAGGTGAGTGAGAGTTTAGGTTGGAATGAAGGGTGTGGCTCCTGGCCCTGTTTTCCTTCAACAGCTATCTGCTATGTATGTTTTCAGAAAATAACAATAGCTAACATTTATTACATAAATCCCAGGTACTGTTCTGTTTGCTTTAAATGTTATTAAATCATTTTATCCTTAAAATAATACAACAAGGCAAGTACTATCATCCCCATTTTATGTGTAAGAAAACTAAAGGTTGAAGAGATTAAGTACTTGTTAAGTCATGCTGCTTGTAAGTGACAAAACTGGAATTTGAACAAATGCAACTGGTTCCAAAGCCAAAGAATTTGAGCACATTATCATATTGCATGCCCAATCTAACTCACAGAACTGCTGTCAAGATTAAATGAGACTAAATCAAAGTGCTCTGAAAAGGACACTCTACTCCTTGTATGGTTAAAACATTAATCTATAAGTGACAGAAATAATAAAAAGTTTCAAGCACACTAGTAAGCACAGGCAGTATTGGTTTTCTTCAGTTGAGTCTTCCTAGAGTACATAAAATCAAACATATGGGTTATATAAACACCAACACTGACTATGCATCAACCATACTTACTGTTTACAAATTTACTTTTAAAATTTATATTTCACATTATTGATAGTTATTCTAAAATGTATTCCCTTCAATTTTATCTGATATCCATCATTTGATATTAGCAACAGCTCAATTCATTCAAAACTAATGGGAAAACAACATTTTATAAGAAAATGTTTAATATAGCATAAAATGCTATGAATTAAAATATGTAACCAAGCTATATAAATGACTCTTCATACAAAAATTTAAAACTTAGCAAGTTCAAAATTATAAAATATAATGGTTTATTGGAAAGCACAGAAATGATATACTTCAATTGACTATTATAGCAACTCTAAATGGTATATGAATTTCATTTCCAACTATACATTTTCCTCTAAAATGAAAATAATCATTGGCTTTGATAAAGTTTTACTCTAACAGCTTAATAACAATATATACGCAAGCTTCAATTTTACTTACCTGCCTACAATTTAGAAATTCCTCTATCAAAAAGTTCTATACTCTCATGATCACTTGCATTATTTCATTTTATTTTTTCCATTTTGCTTGCATTATAATGTCCATTACTGGCTTTTAAGAGCTTGTTTATGACTAAAGATGTTAACCATTTCTCATGCATTGCAAATGAAATACCATGTTTTTGTTATTAAACTTGTGTATTAAATATAATCATGTTGTTTTTTAAAAAAGTCTTATACTATCAACAGTACTTTTTAGCAACTACTCAGTATCTATCCAGTACAATTATCAGCTTATGTTTTCAAGAATGTTATCTATAAAAACAAGTACTAAATTGATCAATACTGTGCAATATTAAAATAATTTATTGTTAATCTATTTCGAACAAAAATATAAACACCACAGAATGAATCAGACACTCAACTGCAATAAATTATTGTTCCCTACCATATCATTTCACATCTTTCAAAAAATCCACATTTCTCTATTATAATTTAATTATTTCTAATTTCCTCTAACGTACATTGTTTTTTCTTGAGCCCAGTTCACTTCTGGTATCTTTTGCCGATAGCTACCCTTCCTCCACCCCCCCAGCCCCATTTAAACTTACTGTAACTTTTCAAGTTTCTCTAAAAATGCCCTCATTTCATGTGTTGTTTTTAAATATCCTTTCAAAAGTACACAACTTTGTCCAGATCTCTGACTTCAATTATGTTAACTTTCAATACATTAAAGGATTAAAATATGAGGTTTTGCAAATTAAAACTAGACATCATATTGGAAAAATAAGATACTTTCATACCAAAACCTTTAAGTATGCAAGTAGTAGAAAGTTATCTTTAAAATTTTATTTAAGCTATCTGCAAATAAAATACAAAATCAATAATATTAATTATTACTCTATTATTGCAAGAGAGCACATGTTATTTAATGGTTTGGACTGAAAGGCATCAGGACCTAACACTATAATTCAGTTTGGTGGTTGCATTTAAAATGCTGAGAATTAATTTGTTTTAAAAAACTGTGATAGTTCTAAATATCTACATAATGTATCAATAACTTCTTAAGCAAATGAAGATTTCCATAATAAGAGAATTATTTACTGGTACTTTCTTGTGTGGGGAAAAAATGAAAAGAGTAAATACTTTTCATATAAAGCCTGCAAAAATGACCAAATATTCTGCAAAAGCAATTCTAAACTATATTGACCTTAGGTTGTTTTTACCCTTGCATATAAAACAAACATACATATAGAACAAATAATACTTACTACATTTTATTTTTTAAAAATGTATTAGATAATTTGTCAAATAAAAATGCTTAGGATTAATATATCCTCCTAGAGCAATTCTTTGTCCTTGTATTTCTCTTGGAGCATTAATCCTCACCTGGCCTCTTGATTACATGAATTAAATAAGAAAGACCGTAAGAGCCAGAGGGCTGCTTACTGTTCATTAAAATAGTCTTAGTTTTCATGCCATTCCATTTAGTCAAAGGTTATGAGAAAATTTTGTATTTCATGTTTCCAAAGTATAAGGTGCCCAATGGAGTATGACTGAGAACTTAAAAGATCTTATAAAGAATTTTAATGCATGTTCTGTAAAGAAAGTAAATTTGAAACTGGAACAGCAATATGAATTTAGTTTTGTTTGTTTTTCTTTTTATGTTTGATATACAAATATTTTCCTTTAAAATTCCTTTTACTAATATTAACTTAAAAAAGAAAGCTATGTTCACAGAATGATAAAATTTAGTAGATCCTGGAATATTACCTAATTCAGTCAAAAAAGAAACAGTACACATAGTCTCTAGCAACTGAAAACTCCAAAGTGGGAGAAAACTCATCACACGCACATCAAAGGAATTAAATTTGATTCTTAACCAACTTACCCAATTTTTGACTTCTCTTTTAACTTAGAACAAGTTCTTGCTTTTTTGCTCTCTTTGTCCTTTGGCTTGGCTTTCATCCTTCTGCCTCTCTTCTCCTCTCTTCCTTCAACTGAAGCACTAGGAAAGTTCTCAGGGCTCATGACTCGTGGGATATTGCGCTCCCCACGCTCCTTTGCTTTGGCTATGGCCTCTGATATTATACGATTGGCCTTTTCTTGCTTGCTTTCTGATTCCACCTTTTTTCTCTGCTTCTTCTCGGACATGATCCTCACCTGGGTATTCTGCAACTTAGTGTATGTCCCAGAACCATCATTCTTCTTGGAAGACGGAGGCTAGAGAAACCAAAATATTATTTATACAACATACCAGAGTACATAAAAAAAAACAATGAACATAAATATCTGAATATTTTAAATTAGGCTTAAAGAAGTGACAAACATGAGCAAATATGTGAGTGCTACAAATTGAAAATTAAAACATTTTGCTAGTCTAGAAATTAGTGTAGGTATGAAACAAAAAGCTCAACTAGTTCTTTTAAAAATGAAGGTTAAAAAAGGATAATACAGATTCACTGAATTTTTCACAGTATTCTTGATTAGTTGATTCAAATTTTATCCTGCAAATATGTTATACATTTGGAATTTTTTAAACAGTCTTTTCTTTCTTCTTCATTCCAGAACTCTGAAAATTATTAATACATTTAAATTAGCAATTTTAACACAGAATGGCTACTCCTATTATAACTGTTAGAAAAATAAAGCCTCTGGTTTACAAGAAAATAGAACTAGAACCTGAAACATTGAAATAATTTTAATGTGCAATCTAGGCAGCAACATAGCTAGTTAGTAAACATTCCCATACTTAAAATTAGAGAAAGTTTTAGTTTTTCCGTGAAAGAGTTAAAATGTGTCCCTCCCCCCCCCTTTCTATATCACAATTATTTTGCTCAAGCAATTCTGGGGGGGAAAAACAAGTTTTATAGTTTTATGTTAAAATTATTAATATTTAGCAATATCACAGGAAGCAGATCAACAGCATTTTTAAAAGAATATCCTCTTAAAACACACATTCATCCACATATAGATCACAGTTTTGTTATGTTCTTACCCGTAAACATGCCTCTGACTATAGCAAAGGAAAAAACCACCAGGAATTTCCAAACACATTTTCATGCTGATTCCAGTGGGCTTCACTGGATATCTTTTCTATACCTGCCTCATCAAAGGTTTCATCTCAGTGCTGCAGCACTGGGAGAGGAAGGAAGGCTTAGAATCGCTCACTAAAATGCCACCTTAAGGCCTACAGGCTATAACAAATAACCAAGACTCGAGAAAACAGCAACAAGCTCAAGATGGCGATGCAGTACGACTCCCGCAGCAGCAGCCAGTAATAAGGAAGGTTATTCAATCCCATTAGCCTTTTAGCCCAAAGAACCCCTCCTCCTCCCACTCATTCAGGCTTTCACTTACCCTTCCTCTTGGCCTCTTCACTGAAGACATTTTTGGCGTCAGACAAAGGCTTGCCCTCTGCTTTTTCACCACCCCAGGCAGTGCTCAAGAAAAAAGCATTGAAAGATTCCTAAATGGCCTATTTAGCAAGCTGCAACCAAGAGATGCACAACCCCTCCACAAATACACATTGTGATTGATCAACACATTTCTGCCTTAGCAAGTTTATCTCCACTGTTCACCCTATTTAGATATGAAAAAGGCTGTAAAGTCCTCCTGAAAAGCTGAGTTCCCTCAATAGCTATAAGCAGATAGCCAGATTCCAACAAAGCACAGAAAGAAATGCATGCACAAAGCATCAAAATGCATCAGCATGAATATTAGAGATGTCGTTAAAAATACTGACTCCTTCTGCGGAAGTAGGCCAGCAGATGGTGCTACCAGTTATTATTCCATTAGACTCTGCAATTTAACCCCCAATGGACTGTTCTTCCCTCCATGTAACACATTAACTCTCAATCTGCCATTTCCTGCAGCCAAGTTTTTAAAAATATACATTAAAAACCTGACTTTTAAAAATCATCTGAAAACTAAAACGATGGTGAAATAGCTTTCTTTATGTAGCTATTGGTATTAAAAAACAAAATCCAATGCAATTTTTTACTGGAGAAAAACACTTTTCCTCATGATACCCTAAAATATTTCAAATATAAAAATAGCTAAAGGCAAACAAAGGGTTAAAGAGCAGGTCATGCAAATGAACACATAGCAAGTGACTTCTCTTTAAGAAATTAGATAAGCTCTCTTATGATTCTTCTAACAATAAGCTAACAATGCTATTTTCAAAATAGAGAAATTAAGCTATTTTCATTTAAATTCTAAAAAGAATTTTAAAGTGAACTCACCAGAGTTGTCTATAAAGAATTACTAACCACACTTAAATTTTTCCTTAAATGTGAACACATTAATTTTCCTAAAATAAAAATATAAAATCTTCCTAACCTTTGCCCCTCATATTCCATTTTAATTGCATTGCTGAGTTTTTCAGATAAATTTTTAATTTTAGTTCCTTGCTAAAAATAAGTAAGTAGGCAAGTCCACCTGAACTTGTTCATCAGTACAACTTTTCTTTCCATAAAAATTTGAGACTATTTTAGTAAGCGGTGTCCTTAAGTATCTGAAACATAATTTTCACTGCTTAAAATTTAAGTTTACCTCTTTCATTGATACTAATTTCTCATTTGGTCGTGGCAAGTCATCTGTTATCTCTATCAAAGAATCCTTTTTAATTTTTTTTTCATTTTAGGCATCGGAAAGTCTCAAAACCGAGTAATACTATATGAACAGTGTCCTAGAAAGACCAATCTGGACAGCAGGAGAGAAAATTAAAGACAGAGGACTGACTACTAATGGCAAGGACAGGTTCTGAATGACCCGAGAGGTCATCTATGTAAAAATCACAATGACCAATAATAAGGGCGAATGCTTACCAGGTGCTTATTTTACCAAGTGCCAGGCACTATTCTAAGCATTTTGCATGTAATAACTAATTTAATCCTGAGTGATAATAGGGTTATAGTGACAATACAGTAGCAAATGGGAGACATACTCCTAGAGCAGAATTGCAAAATGATAGAAACTAAGAGCAAAGAATTTAAAAAATCGTAACAATAACAAGAGATAACACTTGTTTAGTCCTTACTTTGTGCCAGGTACTATTACTAATATTACATATATAGTAGGTCAATTAATCTTCGAAACAATCCTGTGAGAGATGGACTACTATTAACCTCATTTGATAGCTGAGGATACTTAGGCATAGAGAAGTGACTTGCCCAAGATCACACAGCTACTGAATGATTGAGCAAGGATTAGAAGGCAGAGAGAGCCTCATTATGAAAAGCATGCTCTTAACCACTATATCATATTTGGTTCAAATACCATAATTTAGAGGGACTAATTTGAACACAGAAAAAAGTAAGTGACTTTCTCAAAATTGCAAAGAAACTAGCAATAAAGCTAGGATGGAATTTGGGTCTTATCACTGCCCTTTCCAAGATGTAGAAAGCAACTACATATGGAGGGGTATGGCTGAAGAGTAGGGAGAGTCAATATTTGGTTTCTAGAATAAGTAACTGGTACAGAAGGCAAAAGAAATAGAAAATCTAGTTGATAAAGGGTGTGTATGTGTGTGTGGCAAGTTTAATTATTTTTACACTGAATTTGAAATGGAGAGCTCCAGTAACTGGAAATTTAGAATTGGATTCTCAGAGAGGACAGGTCTAGAATACCAGATAGGGAATCTTCTGCTGTTTTCTCATTTCTGTAAAGATTCCCAATAGATTCTATTATTTTACTCAAAATCTAAATGACTTAACATTAAATCTTAATAGTAGACAACAGGGAATCTATGATTAAATATTCTTCTATTAGAATACAATATTTTAAAACTATATTCCCACAGATCAACATTGAGGTGTTAACTAAACATTTTCAATTCACACATACGTTCAACATACAAAAGGGTAGCTGCTAGACTTTTTTCAATGTTATATTTTTTTCTCCCTTTACCCTACATAAGCACTACTCAAATTCTGTCAAATGCCCTCGGTTTGGCTCAGTGGATAGAGCGTCGGCCTGCGGACTAAGGGGTCCCAGGTTCGATTCCGGTCAAGGGCATGTACCTTGGTTGCGGGCACATCCCCAGTAGGG